TTCGCTTAGCTCTTGTATCCGGTTAAAACACTTATATATAACGTTTCGGTTTGGCTAGCAAGCTTGCTTAAGTTCAACTGAAAATTTGGGTATTTATAACAATATCGGATGGAATCGGTTTTCTTCCTTTTGCCCGACATATTTTTTTTTTTTTACAGTGTGTGGAGAGATTTGTAGATAGATAGTCCATAATTTGGAGATAGATATATAAAATTTCCTTGGGGCATTTCTTTTGACATGATTTTGTTGGATAGGAAATTTTCTCGTATCTACTAGTGTATTAAATTCAAGTTTAATTTAGTTTAATTAGTATCCCATAATATATTAGAGTTCAATATATGAATAAAATACGAAATTCAACTGAAAATTGGAGCACTTGTAATAAAATGAATAAATGACGAACGGAAAAGTTTTTGTCCTTTTGCTTATTGTAAATTTTTATAGTGTCCGACAGTTGTATTTTATTGTTTGGAGGTAGAAATATAGTATTATATACGATGTTTAAGTTTGCAATGAGAATAAAGATTTTTATTTAAACGTAAAAGATAATGAGTATATTTTTGCCTATAGATAATCACATTATTTAATACTAAAAACAAAAACAAAATTTTGACAAGGATGCGAAGTCTTGTAAAAGTCTTATAATTCCTGTAGGTTTATTTTTAGTCTCTTTATTAATTACTAATGTATTTAGTTCATGTTTTATATCATAAACTTTAAGGAAATTTCGTCCAAATTATATTAGAAGCGTGGTTATATTTGATACAATTTCACGAACATTAAAACGCGGCAATTATACCAAACATAAAACCACGGGGAAATATATTTCCAATTACTAATAAAACATTATCGCTTATTACCGGATCCTTTTATACGCCGAATCGAAACCCATAAATTTATCGTAACGTAATTTTCAAGAAATTCATAGTTTCATTAACGATTTTAATAAAAAATGAATTCATACGATTGCAAAGTAGTAGAGAACAAATCATTTTTATTCGTTTCTATTCGCGCGAACAAATATAATATTTTTCGTCGGATTTGAAATAAGTTAAAATACTCAAAGAGGAGATTTCTAATCAACGGGCAACAATGGCAAATTTCAGGGCACACACGCGTCTCTGCTCGCACGTGTATACGCATGCATGTGTGTCATCGATGTTGTCCGAGCTTCGTATTTGCACTTGATGCACTGTGCACAACTTGCAGCAGAGCATACCCGATGCATCTACGCGCACAGATGTGCAACACACACGTGCACGCGAATTGATGACACACCTGCGAACAGCAGAGATACAAGCACACGTATTCACACGTCACGACATTTGCACATCGAATTTCAGTGGAAATTTGTGAAACAGTATTTTTGCCGTCGCAATTATAAACGTACGCGTACAGACGCCATTGTTGGCGACACACGCGCACACGTTCGCGTTAAATAATTAGCACGATACAATTTTGGGCTTCACCGAAGCGTGTATTAAACAATGTTTCGGATATAAGCCGCAGAATAATGAACAACGTGACTATTCCATGGAGCAGTACGAATAGCGTTCTTTGACCTAAGCAGCTTGGTTAATCTGCTAAATAGCAAACGCTTATCTTGCGAAAAGGTGCGAAAATTGTGGTTCCAAGCAGATTAGCATTATTATTGAATAAAATACAGCGCTAAGATTACGTCTGCTTCCTTTTTACTGTTAATGAACAAATAACCGTTTGGGAGGTAAATAAACCGACTTTACTTTTTAAATCTCTTGTTTTCATTGTCTGGCTGACTTGGATAGATGCTTGGTGTACGATTTATTTAAATTTGTATTTAGAAGTGCAAGAATAAATTTAAATATTATTTACATGTAAGTAAAAGGAAATTTTTTCTCACAAGAAATTTCCTCGTTTGCAATAATGAGTAATTCAAAATTTGTAATTTTGAAAAGGAAAACAGTTATTACTTGTACTTTTTATTGGTAGAATTCTGCAAGTGTACACGTTAGAAATATTATTATAAGAATTTAATGCCATGCCGTGGCTAATTTATAACAAGAAGAACATTCAAACTTGTTTTCCTTAAAGTTTCCTCCTCACGAGTTTTGAAAATGAGTAGATTGCATAGGAGAAAATGAGTAGTACGTTGAAAAATATTACAGGCATTACTTTTAAAATGTACTTCGGAGAATTCAGGATAGATATTTCTCTGAATTCGTATTTTGTAATATATATTATCATCTTTCTTTACCTCTCGCTATAAAGAGTTGATCAGTATGATTCCTCGGGTTTCATTTAAGAGTTCATCATCAACAAGCGTATCACTCTATTTAAAGATAGAGTATTTGTTGTGTGATAATGTATAGCAAGTGAAAGAAATTTCTTTCTAAGTTCCGTTTCTCCAGTTAGGCTTGTAGAATTTCAAAAATAAAAATCTATAGTAAGGATAACAGTCTTCGGACTTTTTAAACGTGTATATAGAAATTTGCATATCTATAAAGATCGTAACATTTAATTCACACGAGGCACACAGGCGCATGTATATTTGATCAGCAACAAGCTTAGCAACAAGATTATCTGAAATGTACATGGAACATTGGCGTGATATACTATTTAGTATCGCTAGAAGTTAGCCGAGGCAAGTTAAAAAATCTTTCAGTTTAATGAAAACTGTCGGTATGAGATGGTAAAGTACTCATATATACCAGTCGCGACTTCTATAATAACGCGATCATTGTCATCGGTATCGATCCGGCTCAGAATTGGCCGACACTTTAATGAGAACGATATTGAATTACCTAATTCTGCGCGGTTCCTAAAACGACTCATTTAATTTGTGACGGCGGCGTCGCGACGCCGGAATGGCCCGATTCTGTCAATCTTAGTGCTGTGCTTTAAATATACATATTACGCGATTGCCAGGAATAAAATATGCAGACCAGATGAATATTAAGTCCTGCTGACAGGTAAACCGCGTCGATATGCATGAATTTCTGTCACAGCTCGGAGAAATATTTCGCCGAGTAGATTATCAACAGGGGCCACAGTTTGTCTGTCGCTGTTGCGAACCCAAACTTGCGCGGTCACGTACGATCTTTTTTTCTTTCTTCTTTTGTAGATGGTTTTTCTTTAAATGACCTGCGAGACTGCTGCATTTTTAACGGGTCTGAATTTGGATATTGATTCTATATGTACATAATGAACAGATTTGATTTATTTTTTGAGGATCCTGATAATTGGATTATGGACTTCTATGAATTTATGGTAATAAATACACACGATGTTCAAATAGCATAGGAAATTACATGAAATATTTGAAGTATAATACTTCTTGTAAAATAATTCTCTAGTTTTTAATTAACTTTATAAAAATATTAAATTGCATGAACGTTGGTAGTATTTTATATACTTTTGTATATAAAATAATAATAAGATGAAATAATCTAATAGGATAAAAATTTTGGAATGTCTTTATGAAAGGTATTATAATTATTGTTCTTTGTAGAAAATTGGGCACCATCGTTCTAATAACAAGTAACACGGCATGGCAATAAATAAAGTTGTTGCATTAAATTCAAATAGAATCTTAACAATTCGATATTGGTAAATTTAGTCGAGACTTTACTTCCAAATTTATTCGTTCTATATCTAGTATCGACAATTTCGTTTATTGTTTAAATTTCTTTATACAAATAGGGCATTATATATTTTACTTGATATACTAAATAAAGTTATATCCTTCCTCCGTGAATATCCTTCTTTTTTGCAAATATTATAAGACATAAATTATATTATAAAACATAATATTACGAAAGAGAAATCGATAAATTATAATAATGAAAAAAAATTATGAAATTATGTACATTATAATTTTACAGGCTTTCCAATCTTTCAAAAAACAATTACGAAAAAAATATATGTTAGTCTAATCTCTTGAAAATATTACTTTTAACATTAAACTTAACTTGGCGATGTTTTTCATACTTTTGCAAAGAAATTTTCACGAGACGTCATTCTTCGATAATCTACACAAATATATTTTTGTTAGTATACGACGGCGAAAGATCTCTGTGAATATAAAAGTCCGTTCCAAAAGTATTTAATATTTAAAACGTTCTGTCTAGACAGACTATTGGGGTCAAAGCGTCACGTTGCAAAATCTTCCCCGTTTTCCATTCTCGACTGAGTTTCTAAGCAATCGACACCTATTTCTAGGAGTTCAATGACATTTAGAACGTGCAAAAGGATCTACGAACACATTTAGATCTAATAAATACTATATCTTTCCACGTCTTTCATATATGTTCCTTCGTATTAGTTTTTCATTTCAGTTCTAGATAAATGTGCTGAATACTAAATTATTTGATAACAAAAAAGTTTGAAAACTTCATTAAAATTCAAATTATTTTCAGGATATAATTTAATATTACGAGACATAAACTTGATGAATTGATAAATTCTTGGCTGGTTATTACATTAATCATCCGTCTGGAAAAAATTTGAAATGTTAAACATCTCTCATAAAAAAGAAACTAATGAAAATCTATTGCTATCTGAAAGAAACTTGTGAACAATATACTGAAGTGATGTTTACTCGTTTAGTTAAACGTGAATTACTTACAATTAGTACAAGAAGTCTATTTTAACGTGGCTATTACGATAAACTCATTTGAATTTCTGTAGACTCTTTGAAAAATCACAAAAAATGAAACGAAGTATATAATATTATTACTGTAATTATTACAGACTCTTGGAATAATATAATGAAACATAAATTTAGTAAACTTATAATCAAGTATGGTATTTTTATTATGTTGTATAATTTCTACATCATTCGATTCTTGAAGATTATAATAAAAATGAATTCTTAACTGATGCAACATAGAAAAATACGAGAGCGTAATATAAAGTTGAAATGTAATGAAAAGTTGAGAGAGAGAGAGAGAGAGAGAAAGAGAGAAATATAAACATGTCGCGGGATGTGAAACACTTAAAAACCGAAAGTTTTCGTTTTGCAGAGTCGTATATTGGAAGATGCCTCCATTATGTGCAATTCCTGGTCACCAAGGCATAACGTGAGTACTATAACATTACTACCTTTTACTTCGATCATAAAATTATGCCCATCTTACGATCACAATGAAAAAAGAATAATATTAAAAACCATCAATTGATCAGGGAATTGAATTTTACAGTACACTTCATTAAAGAAGAAGAACAAAAGACTAGAATAAATAAATGCATTTATTAATATTATATATATTATGTCGCGACAAAAAAAATTTTAGCATGTTTTCGTTTATGAATATTAGTGTCTGACATATAGAAATTAACATTAACATCATTTATTTATTTAAATACATTCAGCATCATTAGAACTAAAAAGTAGTAAGTAAATGAAGAATTCAGAAGTCAATTGAATCTAAGTTACTTCTTATTGAAAGATATACTAAGCAAATATTTCTCGTGAATCTATAGAACAGTTATTAGTTAGTACAATTATAATAATACAGTTATACAATATAATATTAATATGGTTAATATATTATAACATATTATATTAATATAATAATGGACTATATTAATAGATTATATTGTAATAAGTTGTTATCGCTAATGTAATTATTACGTTATATAGTTACATAACTGTTCAATCGACTGAAGATTTTGACAAGAATAAGATATTTGTATGGAAGATAACTTCAATTTCTATGCTCTTCATAGAATATAGTAATTAATTCTTTCTCGACCTAATATTACATTTCTGTGACACTGTACATCAAGTAAATGTGACACTACCATCAAATAAAAGCATGACAAAACATCATGTAGTTTACAACTCGTTGAACGTCGTCGAAGACACCAAAATAAAATTCATTCATTAATAAATATTCGAAATATTAACAATCGGAAATACGTGTAATACACAATAAACATCATGGAAATTGGAAGAGAATATCAAAAACGATACTAATCAAAGATAATTAAGAAAAAAACTTAATGGATAAATTGGAATTGATAAATGAAATAAGACGAACGGGAAGAGAACAACTCGGAACTTTGTTCCTTTATACGAAATGTTCCATAATATTTATACTTCGCGAACCCACGTAGTCACGGTGGCTCGGCTGACATAAACTCGCTAACTCGTGGTTACGATTATGGCCAGTAGTAAATTGATTATTTAGATATACGACGAGGTGGTGCGAGATAGTTTGAGTGCCGTAAAAAGAGCCACGCGTCGCTTATGCTTCCCGCAAATGCAACAAACATCGTGTCTCTGACAAAACGCGTGCAACTAACGTTCGCGATTTGAAAATTCATTTGAACAGCTCTTACCGAGTCACTGAAAAATATCATTTTCGATACGTTACGTTGAAAGTTATATTAGAGTCGTGTATATTTTCTACGTATCGATTTTTGTTTCCTCTAAATGTGTAAAATTGGTTTCCTATGTCATCGATTTACTAGAAAATTCATCGACTTGAAGATATCTGATGAATATCAATTGCACGTAACTATTCTTGCATGAACTCTAAGTAAAAAAAAAAAAAAAAAAAAAACACACTTGTTATAATATTTATTATCGATCTTCAAGTACTTTAACATGCTATTTTACATAAGAAATAATATAGAAAGCATGTACATTGGATATTTTATATATTTTTTTTCACGTTATGAACATTGCATTTTTGCACTTTTGAAGTATCTTATAAATGTCTTACTTATAAATCACGTATATTTAACATAAAGAAAATTTATAATAAAAATACCATTTAGTACAATAAAATCGTACAGCAAATTTTAAGGGCTTATTATAATAGGGGGATATCACTGTGCTTTTAGAGATACCTGAATTTTTACAATTTTCGAGAATAAATGTATCCCCACTTTCTTACTCATTACATGATACAGGAACATCTTTGAAAGAAACTAACTCAGAATTGTCAAAGTAGAGGCTTTATACTTTAAAATGGAACCGACTGAACAGAAAGTTGTAACAGCTAAAAATATCGACAATGTTTCATCCTTAGTATAGTTATGCCCTTCACTGCGTTATAACAAATACAATTCTACCTTAGATATTTTACATATCCAAGCGTAAAATTCGTGCACAATTATGTGCATTTTTGCACCCGTTAATTTCCTACAAACGCGCGAAAGTCCACAGCCTACTTCTAAGCAACATTTACATTGTCTTCTCCAACCCCGGTACAATAGTTCTTCTGAAAATCACCGCTCCAATAGATTGATCGATAATTTCATCTCTCATCAATCCTTCATCGGTTCCCACAATGATTCCAACATCGACGTATCCGCTTATCTATTTATGCTTATACATGCATATTAAATACCAGCGTGTGCATCTGGTCAAGCACGGTACGCCTGAATATGCGAGCAACTTGCGACCAACGGGCAGCACAGCGTCCACCGGCTACTTCGCACCGCAATCTCGCGTGTCGCAATATTTCATGTCGCAATCTCCAAGCATTTATCGAATGGTAATTTACAATACAGCACGCGGCGTTCCGCCTGGCTTCCATCAATAATACACGGTTAATTGCGTTATCCAATGAACGGGATGAATTATTAGCGAGCGGGTACCGAATAAAGCTGCGGCGGCGGCAGCGGCGGCGGCGGCGGCGACTGGATCGCGGCAGACACCGCGGCGGAGTTTCCTGCAGGTAAATATCGAGCGACGTTATAAATTTGGATCGTTTCTAAATCGATAAGGACGAAGCTCGTCGCGGGGCCGAGTCGCGTCTATGTCGACTGTGACAAATGAAACCGAATTTGATCGGGACGCCGCGGCAGCCGAGAACGGGGATAATATACCCTCTCTTTCTTTCTCTTCTCCTCCGTCGCCTTTCTCTTTTCCGGATCACTCTAGACAAACGGTACTACGACATGCAAGTGTTAATTCGTCCAGTCTGCTCGTTTTCGTGAGACGTCAGATTTTCTGGAAGAATTTATTTATTCATGCGTCAGACTGCTCCGCGATGTAGGTTATCGAACGGAAATAACGTAATTGTCCCATTTCGCGATATCCGCTGGCCAACAGTCCGGAGAGCGTTTCTGCTTTTAGAACCGAGTTACCGTATCGCCGATCGTCTCCTTTCAACTTTATTGTCGCTCATTTCCCTCCCGCTATGAATTACGAAATTGTAAACAAGCGCAAGCGACGGCCACTTTGTGGTCTTTTTCGAGGAATTGTCTGTTTACGTAATGATTTTCGGCCGCCGGGGGAAATTTTATTACTAACAATGAGATTCGATGTTTCTTCTAGGAGTATCAATGGTAAATAACTCTCGGTTTAATTCGTAACAAATTGTAATATTTTGATGAGATCGATTCAAGTTAATACTGCCAATTTTAAGTGGATCGTGCGGATCATCTTCGTGTTGGAGGTTCCTATTAGTTGAAATTAAATGCAGTAATATCTACTTAAGGTTATTTACAATTTCCGTAAACGATTTTAAACTTGAACAACGAACTCAAATTGTCACATAAAATGTACAGTTTTGAAATAATTACACTTACTTATGTATCTTAAAATATTATATATGAGTGATGTCCATTTTTCATAATTGCTAATTAATGTCACATCATCTACAAAATTATTAATAACATGTAAAAATAAACTATAATGTATTAATTAATTTATATTAATTAATCTCGTCGTCCAGAAAAGGACATATTTAATTTATATCAGTCTCGTATATAAGAGAGTCAGAATTAACAGTCAGCTATATTTTCTAGTTTGTCATACATAGCTTAAGATTATTATTGGACATATTAAATTCTTTGAATTTGCACGATATTGATACTAAAAATGAACAATATTATAAGTGTAACTAAACAAAAGTATAGATGTAATATATTTCATATGTTACACACACAATGTTAGAATTCAATTCTGAAAGATAAAACTAACAATCAGTCTAGTGCACATGCACTGTAATGCTCTTTTCACAAGTTGCAGCAAACTTTTACACGCAAGGAAACTTTCTAAGAACGTACTTTCTAAGAACGAATTGCAAGTAAAAATTGTAGGAATTTTCTTTATATTAAAAACATACGTTACGAGAAACAACAAGTTGACAAATTACTTTTATTTTTTAAAACTTTACATGCTACACATAAAATCACGAGATCGAACATTAATTAAAACATTATGATATTATTATGATAAGAAAAACGAAAGTAACACCACAATATTAAATAATTTATGATTAAATAGAAATAAATTAATAAATTAATCACTACCAAATCTTATGGAATTTCTCTCATTGGAATTTAATTGCTTAAAAGAATTTGTAATGTATAATTAATTCTACACAGAGAGCATAAACTCAATTGCAAGATTACATCTACTAGAGAATTTCGAAGTACAGTAATTTGAAAAATTATATACATAACGATAAACCAATATCTATTTTTACAATAATCTACATATCATATTGTTTAATCAAAATATTTATTATTTTACGCTCTTTTCTCCCACTCACTGAAAACGGGTGAATATTGCAGAAACGCAAAGATTGAAAGGAACAAATCGAAAAATTACTTTTATCGTTAACATTTTGATGATTGATACAACGAAATTGGACAAAAAAGTCAATTTCCCTTGTGTTACGTATTCTCCCCTGCTGAATTCTTTATCGTCTTTATTTTAAAGCTCGAGCCTGTATTCGATTGCTGAAGCACAATGGAAAACAGAACTACACGCATTATATAGTCATGAATGTGTATGTTATGTTCAACTGCATCGAGTTGTGTTCCATTCACCTTAGCATTCCGGCCTGCCTATTTTATTTATACACTTTATTTCATTCCGAAAATGGCGGTTTACTCTTTTTCAATACGAAACATTCTACATAATAGATAAAAGTGGATTGCATCATGGAATGACGGATAGAGCGGTGAAAAACTTTAATGAATATTTGGCCAGAACGTCTGTTATATAGCCATCGACTGTGTATCAAATGTATAAAGAATTACTAACAAGGGAACTTCGGTAACCGGAAAATTTCAGTTTTTTTTTTTTTTAAACTTTGCAAATTGGGTGGAGGGT